TTTTAGTGTAAACACTCGTGGAAATGATTTAAAATCTAGGACCTGCACTGTGTAGGCATCTGTTAATAATGATACACCATGTGCAAAAACATGATGCTATCTTGCTGTTATGTTTTGTTTATTTGAACAAAATGAACGAAAATAATGAAAACATAATCACGAAATTAATGTTATGAGCTATTTCCATGCTCTTGGTTCAAGTTTAGCACGAGCCAAAAATCTGAAAATGGGGCCTTTTTAACGAGTTCCAAATATTTAGAGGCCCTTATTTAGAAAAATAATGCCCAGTAATGTGAGATTGTTATATTTATGTTTTTCTTCTGTTGTTCAGTTTATGTGAGGAGGGTCCCCATGCCCGCCAGTTTAGAGAACCACTTTTAGGCTACTTTTCCCCTCAATACATTTGTACAGTACCCTATGCATTCGTTTGACTTCACTTCTTAAAAGAGAGCTTCGTCTTCTGTAGTTTAACTAGACTCTGCACGCAGGGTATTTGTACAGAGACATATAAAACATAAATTATGTCTTAGAATGATTGCAAAAGGCTGTTTAGCATGATTATTCTAAAAAATAACTAGACTAGATTATTTTTACTTAATTTTTCATTTTAAAATGTGAGAATTTACTTGTAATGCCTTTGTCTGACTCTATTGTCAACTGGTGTCACTGTCACTATGATTGTCCTGTTTATTAGCATCATATGCATCGCTCACCAGACACCATTGTCTTTAACAGGATTAACTGTCCCCAAATAGGATTAAAAGTCCCACATCAATGTCAACATGATGGCAGACGGGGCATTTTGTTTTCCCATGTTTTGTTATCCCTTCTCAATAAATGCTCTAAATAAATATTTCCTTGTCAAACGAACTGGATTATAAAATCGGACTTTTTTGCAGGGAAAATATAAAATGGTCCTAAACCTCTTTCTGATCACATTCCTTGATTGGCAATTTACCACACTTCGTCCATTAAAACATTAAATGAAATATTAAATTCATTTGAAATCGTAAAAAGCAAGACCCTTTCAGTTACCTGAATAAGCCTTTGCATTTCCCTTAAAATATTTTAACTTCTTATAGATTACTTTTTATATAATCTTTTAAATGAGGATGTTTCTATTTTTGATTTTGATCTAGAATAGTTCTAAATTTGATAAATTATCAAAATCATTTGTTACAAATTATTTCTTGAATGTATTTATCTAAAAATGCAATTTGAATGAATAATTTGCAAGGGTCTGTCAGTGTATTCTGATGCATTATGGGATACATTAATAACATCCATTGCCAGTTCGCGACTGAGTATTTACAACTGTAGAGAACAGAAAGCTGCTCATGAACATTTCTGGGATATATCAATGGATTTAACAGTTTAGGTCGTGGATTTAAGATATTCGTGATACTGTATATGAAGAGATATCGGTGAGTAAATTTGAATTATGTTCATGAACTAGAAATGCATGAATTTTTAATGGAAAGTTGAACGGAAAATTTAAAGGGCCTGAGCATTCAATTTCATTGGCTGGTTTTCAATACTGTATTCAATTTTCAACCTTGATCAGGATTTTCTACTGTATAATTTTGTATTTATGTAGTTTGTTCAGCTGATGTTAATGTTAAATATTAGGAAAGATAGGTAGAATCATGGATGTCAAGAAGTATAAATCCCTCGAAGGCAGACCATTTGTGGCAAACAGTATCTAATTTCTTATTCTTAACAAATTGAATAATCAAATATTAATAATTGAGTTAACATTTTTAACGTTACGTTTTTGAAGCCATGTAAAAATTTCCCTTTTTCTACCATTATATTTAATGGTATTTTCTCGTAAGCAGGTATGGGGGACTTGTCCGTTTTGATTGCTTGATTGCAATTATAATTATTCGATTGATAATAATAATTAGGTCATTAGAAATAGGAAATAGCCAAAGGTGATTTTATCTAAAGGATGTTCATCCTATCTCAGAAAGGATGTTATCCTAAACGCACACAATATTATTCTAATATTGCATATGTACAAGCGAGTAACTTTACCATTATGAACTCGAAATTACCTTTTAAGCCATTTAAAGGTCTCACATTAATGCCATATATTTTGATATTTTGTCAAAGCCACACTAATATACTTAGCATTATATATGAAACAAAATATAATAGAATTAAGCAAGCAGTGTGTAATTCCATATTTAAAAATCAATATGTTCACACATATTCATGATTTTATATTGTAACAATGCATGTCAAAATCTGTATTAGACTTCAAGTAGAATGTACAGCTCCTAAATATGCCATGCATAATGCTAATGCTATAATCCTTGCTAATTTTCTGCTAAAATATGAAAAACTATATAAAAGATGCATGCATGGTTTCATTTCAAAGGTGGTTCACAAATTTGTTTTCGCCATCAACCAGGTGTCTCTATGTATATTGATTCAAGTGGTCACCAAATGAGCAAAATTCAAACACAGATGATTCCAAATAAATCCATTAATAAGGTCCTTATCCCATTAATCCCTTGATTTACCATCGGGATTTGGAACAATGTGTCCCTATCAAATGCTAAAAGGATCATGAAAAGTTAGTTAATGAGACTTTTTGTTTATAATCCCTAGACATACCCAAACAAAAAGTTCACATTTAAATTATATTCCAAAATCAAAAAAGGTTTAAAACACCTACAATTTGGGGAATTTGAACAATGGTTTACAGTTTACAAGAAGTTGAACTTGACTTGAACAATTGATAATTTTTAGTGAAGCATTCCTTTAACTTCATCAAATGTTCCTTATTTGGAAATGACCACCTTGAAATCCAGATGTCATGCAGTGCATCTGGACCAGTGATGCTGTAAAGATGCATTAGAAGATGCTGGTCACTTGGAGCCTAGAGAGATGCTGAGACAAGGGGGCTAGACATGTTAATCTAGAATAATGATGCATGCAGAGTTCTACTTTTACATTTGATCAATTTACAGCCAATCATATAATCAGTTATATTGAATAATATGTCAGATATGTCAGCTTCATTTTAGCTTCAGAAAATCAACTTGTTGAAATCTCAAGTCAAGTCAAGGTAGAAGTAAAAATATAGCCTCAAATTTATCCACAATATTTCTGCACATATATTTGCAAGCATTTCAATGAATATTGTTTTAATCAGTACGTTTACAGCACAGCTAGTGTGTGTATCACCTCACCAATTCCTTCTATACATTTGTTTTTCATTTTAGCCGAAACATTGATCAACCAAGCCTAAACTATGAAATGGTCCGGTAGTTCCAGATAGTTGTTAATTTGCACATTTATGACTTTGACATGGTGTCAGATGAACACAGCAAGTGCAGCATAGGCTCATTTTTGTACATTCAATTTGATATATGCCCCAATCTCTGCAAGGGAGAATGTCCCATTATCTGCAAGGGGAATGGTCAGTGTGTTTTTGTGGGTCAGATCTAGACTCTGGGACAGGTGCCAATGATCCAGCCTTTGGAGTGTGCCCAGATGCCTGTGGTTTCTTTACAAGTCAGCCAAGTCCCATGTATTAAACAGTCCCTTGTTAATAAAATTCTCTAAACATTGCATCTTATCTTTGGGTCCAGGAAGATCTATGTCATGATTTTCGTCTTGTGCAATGAAAAGTATTTATTGACTTTGCAGTGCTATCTTTTCATTGTATGTGTGATATTTTATAATTGCACATTTTTAAATTAACCGAAATGTTCTTTTTTAAATGAAAGCAATTGATCATTGAAACTAGCAAGGAATGGTTACCATAGCAACACCACCTGCTATTGTCTGTCTCAGCAGCTATAGTAATATATATAGCAAGATTAATATATTTTTTCAAAACTTTTGATACTTTTTAGACACTGATCTAATTTGTTTTTATGGATACAGTTTATAGCAAATGGGTCGAAAAGTTCTCTCACACAACTTTTAGAATTTTGATATGAATTGTTTTTAAGCATTTGTAAAGTTATGGTCTAGACATTTTCTCGCGAATTTTTAAATTCTTGGCAATGGTCTAAACCTCTTTGAAAACTGCCAAAATCAACTGAATATTAAAATAAACATTGCTTTATTTCTAACTGATTGTTTTGGTTTTGTCTTACAGAAATATATACTAACATGGCTTTAAGGTCACTGTTCCAAATTGGCTCTGTGCTTGTATATTTTGTTTAAACATTACAACTAATAGAATCTTAAGGTTTCGAAATGTTAAAATTGGATTTATGAAATAAAGAAGCAATCTGTCTACTATACTATGCTAAGATAAATGGCAAGTATAAATGGCAACTTAAGAATAAAGGTCATCCAAACAGCTATCAAAACCAGTAACTTTGCAAAACCAGCTATACACATAAGCAATATGTTAGAAAAATAAATTGGGAGTTTTTTAGTGAAACACAGGAGGGACTCATATAGAGAACAGAAAAAATCTTGAAGCTTTTTAAATTGTTTTTTCCAATGTGTTCCTATTCTGTTATATTGTTCATCTTGCCAGGGGTTTGCAGCCTGATATCCCTGCACAGCATTAGTTGCTTTTTATATTTCACCTCTCTTAGTTGCCGCTTTTGCCTCCTAGATCTTACAACATCAATGAAAGAAATTGCATTTGCAGATCTATTTTTACTTGCAGTGCTTATGATAATTTGCATGTTAATGCTATATGAATACAGCTCCTGCATTTCTTTGATTTATGAATGATGTCATTTGGATATTTCTATACTTCTTTATGTTTAAGAATGTTTCTTTATATATATTTTGATACTTTGATCATTGTAAAATCATCAGCTTTGAATTCATCAACTTTATATTTCATATCAGGTATTGTTTTCAAGAGAGTTTGTAACTCTTACAAACTACTTCTTGATACACTAGACCCCTGGATATACTTAACGTTGAAATGATTACAAATATCGTGATTTTACATGGAACATTTTCATTTTAAACATAGGCTAGTATTTTTTAGAATTCTCAACATAAACCAAATACAAGTTCATAGTTTAACATAAATCTCAAATGTCAGTTATACAGAAAGTTGTATATTGACCATAAAGCTCCCTGACCCATTACGATGGTCACATGACTTTGTTTATCAGTAAGCCTGACCAATCACATTAAAGCTTGCTCTAGCCACGGGGCATAAGGCTGTTAAGAGTGTGTGTAAAGATAGCTCTATGTAAACTTAGCGTAGTATTGAATTGTAAGACCTTGTGTACACAACTAACATACAGCCAGCACCAGGTATATAAAGTGAAACTCATTTCTTGAGTTAGATATCTTGGATCTAGGTGAAATTATACGTTATCCTTGTAGCAGAATCAAGTTCCGGTTAATTGACATCGAGGATTAAATCACTGTATCCGTGTATTTAGAATTAGACTGGATTACTTAAATATAGTGTTGGTAGACAGAAGCATGATTGGCGTTGAATAGGATTATAAATCAAAATCTCTGATATACCAGTGGATGTTATAAACTTTGCAGATAAGGTAAACATCTTTGATTTAGAAAAGCAAGATCGTTCATTGTATGTGTTGCATATTAACTGCATTTTATTTGTAACAGTTTATTGGTGCATTTAGTTGCATTTGGCATTTTGTTGCATTTCGCATTTTGTTACATTCAATATTTTGTAACATTTGGCATTTTGTTGCATTTCGCATTTTGTCTTTAATATTTTGTAACATTTGGCATTTTGTTGTACTTATTTGACAAGTACAAGTAGCTATTTGATCTTCTTCAAAAAGAAACAGTATTTAACTATCCATTTTTGACATGAGGTAAAGGTTATTTTTGTACTTCTAATGAAGATAAAGGCTCTCTGTCAGAGTGGTGATATACTTCAGGTGTGCTTCACATTTGACCTTGCAAGATAAGACAATTAACCCTTTGAAAGAGGTTCACTTACTCACCACTCTTTAAGAATCAGAATCTAGTTTTGTGAACCTATTGTGATATTAATTCACCCAAAATTATGAGACTACATTTTCTGCTAACCTTTGCTAATTGAAAAGTAAATGAAAGTGAAGATATTGACTGTTAAGATAATCTTTAAGAGTCAGAGTGAAGAGTGGCCAGTTGATGAGGATTTTTGGTAAACTCTTTAAATCAGAAGAATATCCTTAATTTGTGCAGCGTTAGTTTTTTTTCTATTAATTTTTTCGAGTGAGTTTTGTATTTCTGAATCCCCCTCCCCCTTGGATGCATTGTTTACTTTCATTTTGATTTGTTTGTTAGTGAGGTCATTTGTCAATAAGGTGAAGTCACCAGATTTAAAGATAACAATACAGTACTATGAAATCATATTATAGGTTGAATGCTTATAAATTAATTAGTTTCATTTTGAAGATATACAGGGTGATCCAAAAAATTGTTCCAAATTCAGTACTTATTTTTGATAATTTGTACTTCAAATATTGCATTGGTCCTTTTAATGTACCCTTTCTAATAATTCCATTTTGGTTCTTTAAAAGAGAGCTTCAACCTAATGTACTGGGGCCTGACATTGATTATGCAAGAAGGTACCGTTTGCTGAGTATCCATCCATATGAAATGTTGATCAGTCATACTGGTTTACTGTAATCTATTATCTAACCCCTTCAACACAGCAATAAATGTCAAAATTGACAAGTTTGATAGCCTAAAAAATAGTTGGATATTTCGAGCTACATGCAAACTTCATATTTCACCAATCCACAGGGATGTAGTCTTACATAATCATTGACAGGTGATGTGTTTAATATCAGCAACAGTTCAGAAATTACCCTTTTCAAAACTTTGGTAAAGTGTCTCAAAAGTGAGCTTCATGTACCTTCTTTGAATACGAGGAGACCCTTGATCTAGCCTTACCCTATCAGTTTTGGTTGAACAAAATTGGCTATTTTTATGTTAAACAAGATCCTACCTGTACCAGATCTGTAAAATTATCCATCTCAGTTAGAGGTTAGTAATAGCTATTAGCACGTAGGTCCCAGGGTATGCATAAGTACATGTATGTCAATATAGTAACTACATCTATGGTATGTGTGTGGCTAGATTAGAGTTGCTAATCTGTGCATTAGACTGTAACATTAGGCAACGAGCCACCAGAGCAAAGAACATCTTAATGTCATTATGTTTGCATACATGAACACACAGGGAGGGGTAGGGGTGTGGGAGTATAATATGTAATACTAACATGTTAATTCATGTAATATGCAAGACATGGTTTAGTTGATTTAAATACTCACATACTCTTCTTGCACTAAATCTGCCTTCTAATATGGTCAGTTTTTCTGTCAATTGTGATAGTGGTAAAGATGGGGGTAGGGGGGGGGGGGGGGGGGTAGGGGAGGGGGTGTAGGGGAGGGGGGGGGGGGGGTTAGGTGCAACTCTCATTTACATCACAAAGTAGAGGGCCACACACCTGAGGACAGGTAAATGAGGGCCAACTGGAGACACCTGGCTGTGGATTATCTTAATCTAGTATACAGATAGGCCCTGAGTGTATTGAGTGAATAGGAAGCACCCAATTGTCTTTATATTCTATAGTTTACCGTGCACAATATTGAACATCCTTGCTGCAAGGGTATTTTACAAGTATATGAATATATGAATTTAAGCATAAATGAAGTCCTTTGAAGAAGGATGAATATTGAATAGGTACTTGGTTTAGGCAATTCAGTTATGATTTGCTTGCATGCAATTTCATGGCCATCATTAATGAGGTAACATCACAGTCAAAAGCATAGCCCTACAAAGGCATTTCTAATTGAGCCTTTTCCTGGGCCTATGGGTTAGACTGTAAATATAGCAACTCAAGATATGCAACAAGATGATGCTCATTTGACCTTTTGAAGTAAAGGGTAGCAGTTGGCTTGATAGCAAGTCTCAATAAGAGTGGAGACCTGAGGGGTGCTGGGGGAGGGAGGGGGGTGTAAACAAGTGCACAAACACCCCCAGGGGCTTGATACAAGACTCCAGCTATTTCTTTCTAAAGATGGTCCAATCAAGCAATATTATCCTTCCAAACAACACAGCCTTGAAAGTACAATCAATGCTAACAGTGTTCTCTAATTAGGTCTAATTATTACAATTAGCGAATTATGCCTGTAGTGTGCTCCAGTGGGAAACCTGTGCCTAATGCTAACCTTTGCCCCGAGATCAGCCAAAATGCAATCTAGGGATATGGTGATAAACAGTTTTGGATATGTTTGTTTTTTAATTCTTAATATTCATGCTGTTATATTGAATGATCTCCTAGCTTGAAGTTGCAATGAATGTTAAGTGTGCCCACTTTTCTAAATTAACATAATCCTGTCACATGTATGTGTTAGTGTCACTTTGGGTCGAGAAAATAATATTCATATCAACAATTGGAATATAAGTCCATTTGTCATTTTTTGCGTGATATTTGGTTTAACCAAATATTAAACCATAAAGTATAAAATCTCATTGCATTTTCAACTTAAATGTAGTCAACTCATAATCCACTCTATTTAGAAGTTGGGGTACCTTTGTATAAATAAAGACGTGATGGATGTAAGAATTAAAAGTTGAACCAAAACATGTGAAGACAATACCCATACCCTGGAGACAAACACCTGCAAAATGGCCATTCTACTGTTAGTGGTTATATAGCCATTATTCAATGTTAGAGCCCATAATGTACATTACATGGGAGTTGTTCAATATTAGAGAGAGCATTAGAGAAATGGCCCATATAATGGTCTACTAGTCTAGGAGCCTGGGGATGGGAGACATTGTTATCTTCAATGGCCAATTATCTCTAGCAGTTCTGTTTTCTTTTAAGAAAGTTTTGAAGGTGGCTGTTATTAGAGCATTGTGGTTGCCAATCCGCCTTTGTATCAAGTGTCCCGTCTTGTCTACAGGGTATGTATATTGGAGGGGGGGGGGAGTTCTGCAAAAAAGGCTTGGAACAATACTAGTCTCAAATTTGAATGAATTGTAAAAGAGACGCATCAGTTGCAATTTCTCATGTCTGAGTCTGACTTTTCTGGCAATCAAGAAAGTGTCACCAAGGTAACCAAGACGTGTCAACTTAATGATTGGAGAAAATGCATGTCTGAACTAAGAAATTGACTAATTAACTTTTTGGTCATGTAACAATTTGTCTTAATTATCATTGATTGTGGGACAAACACAGTTTCACTTATTAGGTAGATGCTCAAAGAATTAATCTCTTGTCACATCTTGCATAATTGCTAATTATTTATAATGACAGCTCTTTTACCATTCATTTCCCTGCACCCTTACACAAAAATCAAACTTTTCTTTTTGTCAATTATGACAAAGTGAGAAAATATGATAAAATATGCAAAAGGCCTGTTATACCCAGTCTTGGTTGTAATTACAAAAATCAAAAACCTTAATAGATTAAGTTTTTTCGAGAAAGGGTAAAAAATTAAGAAGTTGATTGCGGAATTTTTGCAAGGGAATAAGATAATTAGAGATTGTCTTCATACAGGTGAGTCTCTATAATAAAAGCACAATCAGACTGTATTTTCTTACCTGGAGACAGCATAATTATAACCTGGACAGTAGATGAGACAGAATAACAAGCTAAAGGTCTGGGAATTCTGTGGATAAATGAATTGTGCTTATGTTTTAAAACACTAACATCAATAGAATAGCAAAGAAGAACCAGGAAATAAAGTATGTTGAGGAGATTCCAAATTATAAGGAAAAACTTGAACATTAGGACATTAATTTAATGGTATAGGAAAAGTGTCTGGGATAAGCAGGAGAAAACATTTTATGTGATTCAGGGCTATTAGTTGCTAGGTTTCAGTCTTTGTAAAGGAAGAGTCAATATTCTGTTGTTTAGATATTTGGTCCATCATTGCATATGCTGTACGGCAATTGTTTTTTCTTAACTTAGAGGAATATTCTTTGGAACATCTTTAATACTGAAGGAGAAATCAATAACTCCCCCAGGAGAAACATTATCTCCTTAGGAGACTGGATGAGACAAGATCATACATCATCTTATATTAATACATTTATGTTTTCAGGAATACAGACAGTAACAATGATTAAATCATCAACACGGAGTGATATTATACGGTGGCAGCAAATGTGGGATTTTATACTCTCAATCTCCATCTTGTGTACATTATCAAAGACTGTTGCTGCATGGCAAGTAGACTTGGCCCCCACTACGCTCATACATAGAGTCGGTAAGTACCATGCTTTTACCTTATACAATTTTATAAAGGCTTACATATATTTATTTGGCTTATTTTAGATGGTTTTTAAGATGAAAAATGTGGTTTAGAATATAGAGTCGATGGCAGGCAGATGAAATGCTATGAAATCATGGAAAATAGGGCCAATCTGAAATAGTTGGTTGTATGACATCATGGGGTTGATTCAGTGTTTTCAATAGGGTTTCAATTCAGTGAGGGGTGTGTTATGCAGTGAGGCTTTAAAAGTAGCTACTAATAACAATGGAAATATATAACCTGCATATCCTGTAAACATGTTATGTTATTATTGCCTTACTGTGATGGTATTATGAAGATAGATCTAGCTGTTAATGTGTGCTAATATACAAATACTGAATCACTGGTAAAGATGAACAATCTCTCAATTGAATACTTTGGAAGTTTCTTAATATCCTATTGACTCCCATGTTATCCAAGCCTGCAAATGTGTACACATTTCAGGGTGAAGGTGTGAGGGGGGGGGGGTTTGGTTGTATGTACAAATGTAAGACATTAACCAGCGGCGTATTCACTTAACCTCTTGAATCCCAGGCTCTATAATCAGTTGAAACCAGAGAATTTTTCATTTTTGGCACCATTTGACATTTTACAACATACCTATACAACTATAGAAGCTCAACTTAGTCTTGAGACGGCAGAGAACATTTCTACACATTTTAAAACAAATTTTGTGTAAATTGGATGAAAATTGTTCAAATAAGAGCAATTTTAGTGAAAAATTTTGTGACAGATTTTCTCGTCACTCTGGGTTTCAGGGTCATTTCTGAGGTGACAAGAAATCTCGTCACTCCAGGTAGTCAAGAGGTTAACTATAGCAAAACAGTAGCAACACAAGAGTTGTAAAGTAATGATATATACCTGTCCATATAACATTATCCTTGCTTTTATCACTCGTTTATGAGAGAATATCTAATCATATTGAGCAGGGGCTTGAAATGGATTAGGGAGTTATGATAATACTCAACCATTGTTAACCTAATATATATAGATATATAAGAACGGTTTGTGATATAAGATGTTTGCTCTCGTAAGCTAATATTTGTAGATAAGTTTTCTTTTGGTGATTCTACGAATATGTTTACTCATTTCTTTCATAGTGGATGTTCACATATTTAATTTTAAATGAGCAACGTGACATTCTGTAACAATAGATTTCTCTAAAGATTTACACCTTTCAAAGCACTACTTCCTTTCTTTGACGCACACATATTTGAATTGATTCATATCTATTGTGGCCAATCCTTTTTCGAAAATGATGGTCAGATGATGCTGAAAATGGTTAATCATGTTCGCTAAAGATAGTATTTTTAAAATGTGTAAAAATATGTAGCATACATATTTAAATGTCATGTTTCTGTTGATGTTCATTTCGGTTTTGTTTCACTTGGATGAGTGTCCTTCCTGTATCAAAGGATGGTGGGTCTTCCCATGAATCATAGCGGCAGTTTTGTCATCTGATTGGTCATATGATAAGCTTGGTTGAGATGAAGTTCTACCTGGTTGGATTGGGTTGCCTTTACATGTGTTAAGCCATGTATCTTTCATTCATTTTTTTTTAAAAGGTTATCATCATATTTTGTACCGATATCTGCAGATGGAAATGTTTCAATTCCAATTGGTCAAGAGGGACTAGTTTGACTTATGATAACATTTAATATTCATAGCCCTTTCTGTTAGGGAATTCACATTGCTGCTTCAACACTAGAAACAGTATGTTCATGCTCTGTTGAGGTACTAAACATCATCATGATCAGCTATTATTAAAACAATTTAGGCGCATTGTTAGCATATTTTCCTATGTTTGGGTTTAAATCATGCGATCTATGGCCTGAGTTGAGTTTAAACTGTCATATTTCAACAATTCATTATCCTATTATCCCAATGTGGCCAGTCTTAATGGGACTACTGCGGAAACAGTTATGATATGCTTTAATGTCTATATTTATAGATATGTGCATGTTGTAATGTAGCTGTTTCCTCCTCTCATTTATCATTTAAGGCTTGTCGATTTCTCTAAACCTGAGCTTTGGGTACTGATGTGGATAGATTTGGAAAGTTACTGAATTTTTTATACTGGTGATTTAAAACAGTCACAAATGACCAGTCATGTTAATAGTGTCATACACATTCACTTTGAAAAGATAACCGCCATTAGAGTAAGATTTCACATCTTTCAATTTTAGACGATTAATTGTTTTTTAAACATGTGGAATAATTAAACTGAACCTTTTACTACTTTGATGTTTCAAAGTAAGAGTCGTTTTAACACCTCATATTGAAATCGTCACTTTTTGTTCTTGGTTTTCGGTTACTTTGAGACTAAATGGTGTTCTATTATCAATTGTGTCTTGAAGTCTATATTCAGTCAGGCTGAATGTTCTAGCTGAGTAACCCGTTCCTCCCTCTTTTCTACTTTGGTTCATTTCAAAGCCTCAAAGTATAGAATGAACTTTTGAACTCGTATTTTGTGTGGCTAAATTATCAGTTATTTTTTCAAATTTGCCTTTAGCATTAACATTTTACTTTTTTTTTAGATTAAAATCATTTCAGATTATTGAAATTATAGGAGAGCACCTTATTATGGGTCAGTGAAATGAATCTCTTGAAATGAACCATTAATCTATTCTTATCAATTTATACTGATTGAGTAGCTCCATTTTGTCGTCTTTATCAAATGCCAGTTTTGGTCACTTGATCTTAAGATTTTAGTTTGGTCAAGACTTTTCAATCCTGTGATTTCTTGACATTAACCCATGATGAATAGAATGTTATTTTGTTCCGTCCTTTGTAGATTTTTTACCTGTGCCAGGTAAATCACAGGTGTATGATTGAACAAATATACCTTAACGAGAAAACATACCTGTAATTGTGATCCTTTTGAAGTGAAATTAAAACAAACTTTCAGGTGTTATTACTTGAAATGATGCTTTTTGTTCGGATCACTTGAAAATGTATAGGTTTCTTTGAATAGGTCATAGGGGGTAGAATATCTAAAATAATTTGTTTGTTCTCGTTGTGATCCATTGACTCTACATTATGTACCCATTTACTTTTACACTATGTTACCCAGTTCAAAACACTTCAATGTTCAAATCACTGCATGTGGAATACTTCAATTTCGGGTGATTTTGCACCTTTAAGATTATGCCTGTATTTGATTGATTTAAGTATTTAAATATTAGTTTGTGCAGTGAATCCATCTTGATCCCTAGGGTATTTCATTTGACAGAATGCAAGCTTGCTTAGCTATAGATGTGTTTGGAGGGATAGCGCTTGTTGGGAATGATAAGTCTCATCTCATACAGTGGAATCATGAATTTAAAACACATCTTGGTGGTTTACTAGTACAGCAAATAGAGGTAGACCATGTGGAACTCTTTCCCTCCAGTTTTCATCTAGGGATTAGATATGCTCAACAAGGCATGCTTTAATAGCATCCAAATATTTACAACTGGCCTTATTTCCAATATTGGGTATGGTACCCCATAGTAAGCAACCAGTGTACAAAGTATTACAGTGCTTACGTTTTAAATTTCAAACCAATTAGAAAATCAACAAACCATCAAGAAATCAGTGAAGAAATTATGTAGCTAACATTTAAAATTATACAGAAATGCCTGAAATGAGACAGTTCTTTCAAATTTGAGAGAGGAATGGGCTGAAATAAGGGTGACCAAATTGATATATCATAAATTGGTGTTATTACAACCTTACCATATGTATACATCTGAGAAACCAGGTGCTTATGTTGTTACAAACGGTTGTAGAATATTATTTCACGAACACACGTGTATACTATATTTGTATCTGCTAATAAAGGTAATATACACCAAGGTAAGATATTCCTCATGTTCGAAACTTGCGTAAAGACTTTCATTCTTTGCTTTGGAACACATGGCATAGGAAGAGAAACTAAGTAAATATTCTGAATTAGACTTAACATCACATCTGTTTTCCAATCAAATGTTGTTGTATTTTGTTCTTCAGCTAAAATGTCCACATCCATTAGTTTTCTCTTATGTGTATATACACCATGATGCATTTGCAGGATGTGTACATCCCTTATAGTTGATACTACTAGTAGTATCACCAGCACCGGTTTTGTGTGTATCCTCACAAACATCATGAACATTAAGAGTTTTATCACCTTCAACACTATCACAGCAAGGACTTGTGGGGATATGAAAATGGACCAATTGATTTATTGATGGTGGAGAATATAAATTTTGTATTCCTTTTTCATTCATCATAGCAAGTGGCATAACCGATTTGAACATTTGATGCTTTCTTTTATACAATATTTATGATTGTTTATGTTTAAGGTTATAATGCTATGTATAATATTCAATGCTAGTACATGTATACCTAAAGCCCTTTCATGTAGCATATATGCTTTGAATTTGGTCTGATCTTGTTTCTACATTAACAGTTGTAATAATCCTGTGTGGATTATCAGCATTGTGGGCTTAATTTGCCTTCAACTGCTCCTATTGAAACGATTGGTTTTTGTGGTTAAATCCTTTCCGGCGACGCGTGGACAAAATAGGGGAATTGGGCACTAAATCTTCGCTATATACATCGAGGAGAATGCTCTTCAACTGGAAACCCTCGACTCATTTACTCTAAAATAAATGATTGATAATGTACTCTTGGAGTTTTAAATTTAAATTTAAAACTCTGATGCATATTGATTGAGCTATTTCTAGAGCATACTAGAGATACCTCCGCAAACTACACACGCATCCACACGTAACTCTTCAAGTCTTTGGGGCAGCGTTTCAAGTGGTTCGAAAGCTCAATAAATATTATGTCCACTTGTACATAGCCATTTATTAATAATTTATTGAACAGCTTTGATAAGCTATCAACGTTATGCAAGATTACACTTAAACAGGAACAGGGATTGGTCAAGTAAAGTTAACATATTGATCCTTTGCTTAATAGATTTCTTC